ATTTGAACACACACACACACACACACACACACACACACACACACACACACACACACACACACACACACACACACACACTTACCCTAGCCTCATCCTTCTGGAGATGAGGCCATGAATAATCAGGCTTCAGCTTCCTTAGCAAGACATGGATGCTGCGGTCATAGACTCTTTCTCTGGAGTCCTGTTAATGTGTCGGAAAGATAAAATGACAGCTATATTTAACATTGCACTGATTGTTCAACAGAGAACATAAATCATGGCGAAAAATTGATTGCTTACATTAATTTGAACGTTTTCATAGAAGGGCAGCACGTTGTAGAAGACATCATCTGTGTCGTTTTTGCAGCTGTTGTAAAGACAGGACAGGGGAACAGGTTAGTACAGAAACATCACAATTTACCACATGTTAAATTCACAACTGATCAGAATATCATTCCCCTGTCTGAAAGAAACATGTTCACAAGAGAGAGACAGAAAGAGACCAATTCATATAACTAACAGAGAAACAATACACCTACATTTTTTCAAACTTACTATAAAGTCATTTTGTCTGGCTGGATATCCACCTGGACATCTTTGGGTTTATGAACCATGAAGGTGACGGTGACGTATTTCTTTCTGTCATACCAAATCGCACGTGCTGGCTGGCTGTAAAGAACAAAGACAAACTTTTATAGTTGTGACTCAAAAGAACAAAAATATTATAAGTAAAGGAAGCATTTGTTGGTCACGACTCAAAGAGAGACGACAGCACTTACCTCTCCTCTGGTCTCACAATTTTAATCTTGTTCATTGTTATTCTTGCGTAGGATTAAAACAGAAACTCCTTTTTTGTACTGCTTTGACTGCCTGAAAGTAAAAAGCATGTGGCTGGTTTGTCCTGTGTGCTCTGATGCAGTGGCCAGGCCCTGTAGCCTATATCTAAATATAGAGCAGTGAGTATCAGCTGCTGGGGGAGATGCCAGACCCTTCCCCTGCCCTTATTGGTCCGTGGAACTTTCCGGAAAACAGATGCCTTTTCTTGGTTCTCCAATTCTTCTGCCCCCCACCAACAACTGGGGGCTGGGAGGGTGAGGTGGGGGCAGGGAGACACAAAACAGAGACAACAAATGGAGCACCTGAAAAACTAAACAGCTTCTGGGATCATAGAAGTCAATACACACTAAAAAACTACTCAGACTATTCTTTTTATTTACTGCTATTATAATACAATAAAAAAACGAAGTCACTGTGGAGTAGAAGTTTAAACAACTTTGGAGGAAGTGTTATTATCTCATAGATCGTAGTAGACAATGGACCACTTCTCATAAATAGTGTGGGCCGGATCAGAGCTACTTTCATGTGTTTCTTGTCATGATTTTGATATGGTGTTAGGATTTTCTTTAAAAAAGGCTAGTCAGATTTAGTGGTTTAGAGTCTTTAGTGATAGCTTATAAACTTAAAAGCCAGAAGCAAATGTGGTTATGTAGCTTGGTTGAAAGCATTAAGAAAAAATAACAAGAAATAAAATAAATTTATCATCTTGATGTTTGGTGGCAGTTTTTAAATGGTATTATATTTGTAATATACAACTTTTTAAAGCTGAATTTATTTAAAAAAGGCCAAAACGAAAGCACAACAAAATACATGTCTCTATTATTTGTCAGATGTGCAAGTGTCTTGGTGGACTCCATCTGTCTTTGAGCTGTAATGATTGTTTTGTCAAATGAATCTCAAGGTCCGGTCTCAAGGTTAACATTTAGAAAAACATAAACATTTATTTTTTATTTTAATTCCACAGGAGCATGGTCGGGAGGGGAGCCCCGCCCTTCAGAAACAGAGCTGAGGAGAGAACGTCTTGAAGTTTTTCCTTGTACGATGTGAGGTTNTGGCAGTTTTTAAATGGTATTATATTTGTAATATACAACTTTTTAAAGCTGCATTTATTTAAAAAAGGCCAAAACTAAAGCACAACAAGATACATGTCTCTATTATTTGTCAGATGTGCAAGTGTCTGGATGGACTCCATCTGTCTTTGAGCTTTGTGGTATTGATTGTGTTGTCAAATGAATGTTCTCAAGGTTAACATTTAGAAAAACATAAAATGTTTATTTTATTTATTTTTTATTTTAATTCCACAGGAGCATGGTCGGGAGGGGAGCCCCGCCCTTCAGAAACAGAGCTGAGGAGAGAACGTGTCTTTTTTTAATTTATTTTTTATATACCGGTATGCCAAATTGCAACTGAAGTAATCTATCTACGGTCACTTTTTGCATTGAAAATGTGCTTTTTTATTAAATAAACTAAACGCTTATGTTATTATCCAATTAATGTGCATGTTTCAGTGTCCACTGCATTGCTTTGCACGTTCTCTCCTCAGCTCTGTTTCTGAAGGGCGGGGCTCCCCGACATACACACACAAATGCACACACTCACAGCCTGCCATACACCATGGAAACTACCAGAACTTGTCGCCCCCTGCCGGTGCGGCGGATCAACTGCAGCACCGGAAATGCAAGCCTCCGT